AGCAATTTCAGAGGGTCAGCATTAACCACATCGCTGTTGATAGAGTCTTAGAGTCTCAGAGATGTGCAACACGGAAACAGACCCTTTGGACCAGCTCATCCATTCTGACTGGATTTTCTAAATTAATCCAGTCCCATTTGCCAGCATTTGACCCATATCCCTCTAAATCCTTCCTATTCATATACCCATCCAGATGTCTTTTAAATGTTGGAATCGTACCAGACCCCACCACTTCCTCAGGCAGCTCATTCCATACCCTCTCCACCCTCTGCGTGAAAAATTTGCCCCTTAGCTCCCTTTCAATCTTCCCCCTATCAACTGAAACTATGTCCTCCCATTTGGACTCCCCTACCCTGGGAAAAAGATCTTGGTTATTCAACCTACCCACACTCCTCATGATTTTATAAACCTCTATAAGCTCACCTGTATAAGCTCCAGAAAGAAACAAAGCCCTAGCCTAATGACACCCTCCCTACAGCTCAAATCCTCCAACCCCAGCAATGTCCTTGTAAATCTTTACTGAACCCTTTCAAGTTTAACACCATTTTTCCGATAGCAGGGAGATGAGAACTGAATGCAGTATTCCAAAACCAATCCAACCAATGTCCCGTACAGCCGCAACATTACAACTGAACTCCTGTACTCATTGCATTGACAATAAAGGCATGCATACCAAACGCATTCTTCACTAATCTGTCTACCTGCGACTCTTCTTTCAAGGAACTATGAATCTGCATTTCAAGGTCTCTTTGTTCAGCAATACTCCCCAGGATCCTACCATTAAGTGTATAAGACCTGCTTTGATTCGCCTCCCCAAAATGCAGCACCTCACATTTATCAAAATTAAACTCCATCTGCCACTCCTTGGCCCAGCGGCCCATTTGATCAAGATCCCATTGTACTCCAAGGTAACCTCCTTTGTGGTCCACAACACTTTCAATTTTGATGTCATCCACAAACTTACTAACCATACGTCCTATGTTCATATCCATAATTCATTTATATAAGTGATGAAAAGCAGTGGACCCAGCATCGATACTTGTGGCACACCACTGGTCACAGGCTTTCAGGCTGAAAAACAACCCTCCACCACTTCCCTCTGTCTCCTATCTTCAAGGCAATTTTACATCCAAATGGCTAGCTCTCGCTGGATTCCATGTGAATGAACCTTGCTAACCAGTCTCCCCTGTGGAACCAGTTGAAAACCTTGCTGAAGTCCATACAGACATTGTCCATCGCTTTACCTTCATCAATCTTCTTTATCACTACACCAAAGAACTCAATCAAGTTAGTGAGACACAATTTCCGATGCATAGAGCTATGTTGACTATCCCTAATCAGTCCTTGTTATTCCAAATACATGTAAGTCCTGTCCCTGAGATCTGGAGTGTGACCTAGTCAGAGACCAGGTAAAGAGAATGGGTTTCTTTCCTGAAAGGACCCTGGTGAACCAAGTGAGTTTTTATGAAAATCCAGAATTTTCATGGTCACTGGGATTGATACCACCATTTTATTCCCAATTCATTGAGTTAAATCAATTTATATTTTCCTGTGCTCTATGGCTCAAAGATTGGTGGGAGTGGAATGGAATTCAGTTCATGGGCACTGGGATGAGTACTAAGATAGGAGGGAGTAGTTCTGATAGGATAGGCTTCACTTGAACCAAAGTGTTGCATGCTGTAACCAAAGTCTCAGTGAATCGAATAACAAGGGCTGGAGAGAGAGCTTTAAACTGATTAGACAGGGGAAGGGTTTGGGAGAGGCGAAATGCAGATTTCCAAAGCAATAGGAAATGGCTGCATTATGGGCCTCCTATTTGGATAACAATACCCTGAGTGGGGCAGGAAGAGGCAGAATAGACAGACATAGAATAACAGCAGTAAACAGGGCCAAAGTGAGAAAAAATGGTAAAAGGGCAAAATTAATTCCTCTGGAATGCACGGAGTATTCAGAACAATTGAAATAACAGCACAAATACAGGATAATACCTATGATTTTATAGTCATTATGGAGACAACGGTTACAAGGAGATCAAAGCTGGGAACTAAATATTCAAGTGTATGTGACTTTTCAATAAGGTAAGCAGGAAGAAAAAGGTGGTGGGATAATAATGTTTTTCCAGGATGGAATAAGCACAATGGCAAGAAATGACCTTGGATCAGAAGATGTAGAATCCATATGAGCAAGAAATAAACACAGGATGAAAGCTCTGATAGGAGTGACCTATAGATCCCATAGAAGTAGCTACATGGTAGGACAGAGAACATTAGGAGATAATGAGCACATGTAAAACAGTACATTAATCATGGGACTTTAATCATCACTAGAATGTGATGTGAGATTGGCAGAGATAGTCATAAAAAAGGATTCAGTCAATTTCCTCAAGCAATATGTTATGGATCCAACCAGGCATCAGGACCTTTTTTTAAGATCTGGTGATATGTAATGAGGCAGGTTGAGTAAATGATGGCAGAGTAAAATATCCCCAAGGAAATAGTGACCATAATATCATAAAATGTAGCATTCTGTTTGACAAGGAGGAAGTTGGGTTGGAATCAGAAGTATTAAGCTAAAATAAGGATGATTACAAAGGAATGAAGGCAGAGTTGACGAGAGTGGACTGGGAAAGGAGTTTAGCAGCAAAGACAATTGAGGAAAAGTGGTAGGCAGTGAAGAAAATAGTTCATGGGTCCAGCAAAGATATATCTCAATGAGAAATTGACTGATCATTGACTTCAGGAAGAAAAGAGGAGAACAAGCCCAATCTACAGCAACGGAGCTGAGGTTGAGAGGGTGGAGAGCATCAAGTTCCTAGGAGTGGCTCAGTGGTTAGCACTGCTGCCTCACAGTGCCAGGGACCTGGGTTCGATTCCACCCTCGGGCAACTGTCTGTGTGGAGTTTGCACATTCTCCCTGTGTCTGCGAGGGTTTCCTCCGGGTGCTCCGGTTCCCTCCCACTGTCCAAAGATGTGCAGGTTAGGGGGATTGGCCATGTTAAATTGCTCGTAGTGTTCAGGGATGTGTAGATTATGTGGCTTATAGGGGGATGGCTCTGGGTGGGATGCTCTGAGGGTCAGTGTGGACTTGTCAGGCCGAAGGGCCTGTTTCCACACTGTCGGGATTCTATGATTCTTTGAACCGACGGTCAAGAAGGCACAACAATGCCTCTCCTTCCTCAGGCAGCTCAGGAAATTTGGCACGTCACCAACTTCTATAGATGCAGCATTGAAAGCATACTGTCCTGGTGCATAACAGCCTGGTATGGCAACTGCTCTGGCCAGGACCGTAAGAAACAACAGAATTTTATGTGCACAGCCTCGACCATCACCGAAGCCAACCTTCCATCCGTGGACTCCATTTACACGGCTCGCTGCCGCAGAAAGGCAGCCAACATCATCAAAGACCCATCACACCCCGGTAATGATCTCCTACAACCTCTTCCATCAGGCAGAAGAAATAGAAACTTGAAAACACGGACCAACAAGTTCAGGACAGCTTCTTCCTGTCTGTTCTTACACTGATGAGTGGACTCTCTAACTTCAAATAATGTTGATCTTGCCTCGCACACGGCCTGTGCAACGTAACGTGTGGTCCTCTATCTAAGGCTTTTTTGTCACCCTATGGTCTATATGTCCTTGCTTACTATGATCTATCTGTACTGCTCATAAACAAATCTTTTCACTGTACGTCGGTATACGTGACAATAAATCAATCAATCAATCAGAAAGGATTCGAGGAAAGAGAAATTAAAAATCAAATCAAAGAAAAAACATACAATGCAGCGAATATTAGGCCAGATGATTGGAAAAATTTTCAAGTCCAACTAACAATGGTTGATAAAAAATAAAGAGAGAGAAAATAAACTTTCAGGGTAACATTGTAAGTCGTACCATGACGGACAGCAAAAGCTTCTCTAAATATATAAAACAGAGGGGAGAGGCCAAAGCAAACGTGGAGGCCCTTAGAGAATGAGGATGGGGACAAAAATTGGGGAACGAGGAAATAGCAGACAAGCTGAAGAAAAAACGCATTCAAAGTAAAAGTTAGTAAAAGGACACTTTTTAAAGACCCGACTTAAACAAAGCAGCAAACTGCAAGCAATGTGGATGAAGGAATGCTGAACATTAACTTTCTGCTTTAAAGGTCTGTTCCCCGAAATGAAAACACGGAATTATTCAAAGGGCTCGATTCTTTATATTCAAACACCCAGCGTCTCAGTTTCACCTCAATCTTCCGTCTCCCTTTCCAGTCGCTGTGTTTGACCCTGAGAGGTGAATGTTACAAATTGCCTCTCCCTCCTGTTCCCTTATACTGACAGGAACCAGCTCCAGGCTCTGTTCAGCTGATCAGAGACATTGGAGAAAGTTTTCACCTTTTCACTGCACAATCCCCAGCGGCTCCCCGTTCAACTCCTTGGATTTGATTGGGATCTTTCAGCGGGAATAAAATCCACCCGATCCCACTGGGAATGAGCCCTTCCTGAAATTAAAGAGGATTTGGGACTCACCTCTTACTTTCCCACAATCTGATCGAACATTTTCCGCCTTTTCCCGGACAGATGTGTAAAGAGTAAAGTGGAAGTTTGCAGCTCCCTCCCACACGGAGACCTTTCACTTTCAGCTTTCAGAGTTCACTCACTGAGTGCTGCTCCCTCGCTTCCAGATGCTTGGAGCTCGGCTCCTCTCGGAGCCTCTGGCCTTGAAAAAGTAACTATTCTCCCCCAGGGTCAGAAAGCTGTCCGAGCGGCTGCAGCAGGACCTCTCCATTCCCTCACGATCCCTGTCCCCTCCTTTACTTCGTTCCCACTCCTTTTCCCTCATTTTCCACATCCCTCTCCTCTTTCACTACCCTCCCCTCCTCTCTCCATCCCCCTCTCCTCTCTCACCATCCCCTCTGTCCCACTTCCAATCCCCTCCCCTCTTCATTCCCACTTCTCTCTCATCACCTTCTTCACTCCAATCCAGCTCCCTTCCCACTTCCCCTCCTCTCTCCAGCCCCCCTCCTTTCTCACCATCTTGCAGATTTCCCTCTGTCCCATTTCCATTCCCATCCTCCCTTCTCTCTCATGACACTCTCCAGCCCCCTTCCCACTTCCACCCTCATCCATCAACCCAACCTCTGTCAGCACCCTCCCTACTTCCCTCTATTCTCTCCCCTCCGCCCACTCTACTCCTTCCCACTTCCTTACCACACCCTTCACCTTCTCTCACCACCCCCCAATATTCCTCACTGTGCCCCTTCTGACTTCTTTCCCCCTCACCTCAACACCATCCTCCACACTCCCCTCTATCCTCCCTCCTCCTGGTGTGAAATTGTTGAACTGAACGTTGTGTCCAGAAAACTATGAAGTGCTGAGCTGAAAGATGAGGCTCGGTTTATTGAGCTCACATTGAGCTTTACTGCGTTGTGGTGATTCTGTAACAGTTGTATTTGAGATTTGGGTCCATTTATTACAGTTACACTTTATTTACACTTGCTGGAACATTGACTTGGTGAAGGTTGACTGAGGTCTCTTCCTAAAACCCACATGAATGTTTTCTTCACTCCTGGGATATGAGCGCCCTGGGTGGTTGGTACTTAATGCCCGTTCCTCGGAACAGGGACAGGTCATTCAGTCCTCGCACCTGTTCCACCATTCAGTGAAGTCATGGCTAATTTGAGCCTAAATACATATGTTCTTTGGACAGTACCCCATAATAACTTAGCTTAACAAAAATATATCTCTCTCAGATTTAAAATAAACAACTGATCCAGCATCCACTACCATTTGTAGAAGAGAGTTCCAACCATCTCCCACCCTCTGTGTGTAGAAGTGCTTCCTCATTTCTCTCCTGAACGGTCTGGCCTTAATTCTCAGACTATGCCCCCTAGTTCTAGAATCCCTGACCAGTGGAAATAGTTTATCTTTATTGACGCCATCTTTTCCTGTTAATATATCGTAGAGTCCCTATAGTGTGGAAGCAGGCCATTCAGCCCGTCGAGTTCACACCAACCCTCCAAAAAGCATCCCACCCAGACCCACAACCCCTCCCATAACCCTGTAACCCAGCATTTCCCATGGCCAGTCTACATAGCCTGCACATCCCTGGACACCATGGGCAATTCAGCATGGCCAATCCACCGCATACCTTTAGACTATTGGGAGGAAAATCACAAAGATTTCAATCAGATCACCAATGAATCTTCTAAATTCTGGAGAAAAATGGCCTAATTTCTATAATCTCTCCTCATAATTAACCACTGAAGTCCAGGTATCATTTTTGTAAAACTTCATTGTACTCCCTCCAACGCCAATATATCATCCCTAATGTGTGGTGCCCAGATTTGCTCACAGTACTTCAAGTGGGGTCTAACCAGGGTATTGTATAACTGCAGTGTAACGTCTACATTCTTGTAGTACAGTCCCTCAAGATATAAAGGCCAACATTCCATCAGATTTCTTGTTATTTTCTGTGCCTGTTTGTGACATTTTAAAGATCCCTGCACCTCTTTGGACATCCACTTCATACCATCTGGAAAGTATCACGATCTATCCTTTAGTTACAGTCACAGTCAGTGTATCAATTACCATCTCAATTTTCACATTTCATTATGATACTTTTGCAGTTCACTTGTCATTGACCAGTTTAGCATTCACATCATATTGTTATGGACTAGACCAAACCCACTTGAATTATTTTAAGAAAGTAGCCCAGATCCTAACTTTTTCTTATTTTAAAGGCAACTGAAAAGTGTAATGTTCCAGATGCAACTCAACTGGTGAAACTGTTTAACATTAAGCAATACACAATTTATTTAAACACTGTCATTAAAATACAACAAAAGAAAGAGGAATTTTGAATTACTTATCTATTAGAAAACTTAACAGAACAATAGATACAGTAACTAATGTCCTTTAGGGAAGGAAACTGCCATCCTTACCCTGTCTGGCCTATATGTGACTCCAGACCCACAGCAATGTGGTTGACTCTTAACTGCCCTCTGGGCTAATGGGGATGGGCAATAAATACTGGCCTAGCCAGTGACGCCCTCATCCTGTGAATGAATTTTTAAAAATCAATTACTAATTAACTGCTCCAATATAGTAACACCCTGTAAACACACCCCTTGGCAAAAAGGCAAATTCAGAAACAGATTGTTTCACACGCAATCCAGCAGCAGAGAGAGAGAAAAAAATCTCAAGCAAAACCTCAGAGAAAGTGGCAGCGAGGAGACATTTACTGCAGCTTCCAACCCTGTTGAGGCTCCAACAGTAACTGTTTAAAGCTAAACCTGAACAACTGAAAACACTAGAAATCCTGGTCTGTGGGAGCTGGCCACACCCATCCAGGCTGCTTCTATTGTTCCAACTTTAAAAACAAAATCCTAAGGCTTCACAAGCTGTTTACATTACCACAGACTGCTCGTTACTTGTAGTTCAACCTCTCAAAGAAACTAGGACAAAATACACCTGTTAAAGCCACAGCATCATCCCACCACCCCGCTTAAAAATAGAATGAACCATCAATATATAAAGATGGCTTCATTTTTAAAGCCCTCAGTCTTACTCTATTAGTACGTTACAATACATGTACATTACATTGATTCTCAGAATGCAAACATTTACTATGACAGTCTATCTCAGTCTATTTACTCCCAACATGGATCGTCTCCGCCTTTCTTCATCAAAGTCACAACAACGCTTCGGCAATTATGCTCTCTCATCCTGCTATGTGTATCATTTTCAAATCGGACAGCTGCAGTAATAAGCTCCATCTAAACAGTCTGGAATTTTTGTCCTTAAATTTCTTCAAAAACTTGAAGTGGTTATGATCAGTATGTACAATTGTCTCAGACACATTACAGGCAATACAAAATGTTGAAATGTTGTAACACCAACACCAATCTCAAGGTTTCCTTCTCAATCATTTCTGTTGATGAGTATTCAATTTTCTGTAAAAATATTCAATGTGTCTTTACATATTCTCATCGTCTTCTTGTAAGAGTACAGCGCTGACACTTACATCACTCACATCGATAGCCACCTTGAATGGCTTTGCCTAATTAGATGTGGCTAATACTGGGGCAGTGGTTAACACAGCTTTCAGGCTGTCAAATGCCATTGAACACCCCACAGTCCACTGCAATTTTCTGCACTTCTTCAATAAGTTATTCAGTGGAGCAACCACATTGCTCAAATTTGGTACGAATTTCCGATAAAACCCACTCAATCCCAGGAATCATAGCACTGCTCTCTTCATTGATGGTATGGGAAGCTCCCTAATAACCTTTGTTTTCACATTCCATGGGGCCACCAGTCCATGTCGATACTATGGCCCAGGAACATGACTTGGGCTTTGGTAAATACACTCTTGGCCAGGTTTATCAGCAAGCCCATCTCCCAAAGTCAATGGAATAATTCTGATAAATGCTGCAAATGTTCCTTGCATGTGTGACTGAAAATCACCAGGTCATCAATGTCCACCACACAGCTGGGTAATCCAGAAATGACTTTATTGGTTAGTCATGATATAAGAGTAAAGTACTGCAAGGTAGAAATCTGAAATATAAACAGAAAGTTCTGGAGAAACATCAGTAGGTCTAACAGTGTTTGTGGTGAGAGAAACAGAGTCCATTATGACCTTCCTTGTGAAAACATTCCTGTCACCAAGGCAATCTTTACTTACACAGGCTCTGACTAGCCAGCTCAGAGCATGTCCCTACAATGATAAGACTCTCTGAATCTCCTGCTTATATTTGTCAGCCAGGGCTCCCTGATTGGCCAAGTTAACGGCCCCAATCAGGGTTATAGTCAATGAAATCCACCTGGCCCTCATTCCAATCACGACACTTTGGAAGATGTGTGATCGGGTGGAAGGTCGGACAGGTTAAGTAAGATTTTTATTTCGAATCATTTTGGATCTTTGAAAAGTCCGAATAATTCCAAAATATCACGAAGAACTGAGGTTTCTTTTTTAAAATGGAGTTTGTATAGGAGGACCCATGATGTGTTTCTCAAATATTGATTTGTAGATGTAAACATTTATATTTCTAAAAATATACGTCAAAAAAATTAAATAACCCCAAAAAACAAAAAAAGGAGAGATTGTTCACAATCGTGAAGGAAGAGATTTTTTCCAACAGAGTTTGTGTTTTTTTTTCAAGTTTTGATCTGCAGAGCTTTTTTATGTTTTTTAATAAATTACGTAAAATAGAATATACACAAAAGTGAAGAGATTGTTTGTCTACGGAGCTTGAGGAGAGGCCGACACGTGGACATCTCTGGAGAGAGGTTTTTTATCTGAAGATTGAAATTTGAATGTTGGATTACTTGAGGAGCAGTCGTTTGTTTAGTTGAGTGCTTGATTTTTTTAATATTTATATGTTTAAGTATTTTTTCTATTTTTGTGTCATTACTACTAAATCTGTGGGTAAGGAAAGGTACTTTATTTTTATATATGAGGTGCTATTGAGAGCTTTTTAGGCTGAGGGTAACTGAGGGCATACAAGAGACACAGAGTGTGATAACCAGCAGATTTGGCGAAGTGGTTACACAGCAGGATCAGTCAGATAGATGGGTGACTGTCAGGAAAGGTAAGAAGTTAGTTCAGAGTCTCCTGCAGCTATT